AAAAGAAGAGCCCCTGGGATTTATTTTACGGGCGTGAAATTGAATGCAACCCTAGATTGCCTTTGGTTTTTCGTAAAGACGTTTTTGTTTAATTGAAATCAAAGGGGAAGAGGAAGAAGATAGAAGAGAAGAGAGCGTTAAAGCGTGAGTGCCAAAACTAGGGTTTATTCAAAGGTTTTTGGTTTTGGGAAATGGCGGGTCTTTTTTTTTTTTTTTTTCAGAGCGGTTTTAAAAAATCCTTTAGCCGGTTGTGCATTTGGTAAATAAACAATACTTTAAAAAAAAATTTAAGTTACATTTATAACTAGGTATGATAATACTCCCAAAATTTAAAAGCACAAATATTTTTATTTAATAAAATAATAATGTGATTTACTAACAAGGGTTTGGTGCAATGAAAAGAAAATAGTTTTAAATTTTAATTTTATTGTGTGTGAGTTTGCTTATCTAATTATATTATAATTTGTCAATTATTTATTTAATTTATTATATTCTAATAATTAATTATAATTATATTTTAATTTATTTAGTTATAGATGTAATATTTAATTATGATGATTATTTTAAAATTAACAATAACGTGATACTTTAATTTAATAGTTTGACATTGTTTTTTTCTTTCAATCTTTTATATAGGCAATATAAATTATAAAAATATATGTATATACTTTATCAAAAGATATTTATACATTTTATTCAATCACATTACTTGGAATTTTTAACATATCTTTCATGATACCCTTTTTTTTGTTAAAAATAATTTTCTTTACTATTTTTTATATTTGTTTTTACTTTTTATTCAAAGTCCCCAAGATGAGAATCATGCATTCTTCTTGAACATCAAATTTTCTTTATTTTATTTACACTTTATACGGTTTATTTTATGATTTACATAATATTAGATTTGTCTAAAGCTAAATTATTCATTTAAGTGCAAAGATTCAGTTGATATTTAAAATGGGCTTAAATAAAAATATAAAGCTCAAAAAATGAGTCAAACCTTAATTTTAACATTCAATACTTCAACCTAGTCCAATTTGGCCTTTCAATTATATTTATATTTATATTTATATTTATATTTATATATTTTACATAATTTATATCATATAGAAGATAAATATATATTGTTTCATTTTAAATTTTATAAATTATATTAAGTTATTTTATGATTTAAAAAATAATGAGCTCAAAAAAATTATAAAAAATTAAAATTATTTAAAGAATAAATAAATAATAATATTTTTTATTTTTTAATTTAAAGAATAATATGGCCACCTTTGGTTTGTATCATTTAAAAATATATATAGGTTAAATAAAATTTTAAGATTTGAATTATCAAATCAAATATTCAACATATATATATTTATTAATACTAAATTACAAGCTCGCACTTCGTCGCATAAGTAAAATAAAATTATATATTTGTAATTTAGTTGAAAAAAGTCAAATAAAATTAAATTTTAATAATATAAATATTAAACAATTTATAAGAAAAAAAGAATTGTGTAACCATGATTTTTGTGATTACCCATAAATTTTTTCTTCAAATTTGACAAATTTTTTTTTATTTCATTTAATCCCTCATTTCCATAACATGAAAAGTGCATATTCAATATATTCACTATATAATATGCAAAGGTATTGCATTAATAAATTTCGATGAACATGGTAAAATCTTGACAATGAAAGTAGTAATAATAGACTTTAAACCAAGAGATTATCTATTTCATCTCTATACTATTGATATCGGATTGGATACATCACCACAATCTCAATAATCATGCCTATTGCAATTGAGCAAATGTAAAAGTTTTCAATTGTAGTTAGCACCTGATAAAACAATTATCGTTAGTGCACATCATATGCAAATGAATAGTTGTAATTTTTAGAATGATGTAATCATGTAAAACTATTAGCTAACTTTTGATAAAGAAACAAATAAACATAAATTTTAAATGAAAAGACAAATTCTGTAAGAATAGTGAATGCTTCAGACCATAACATCAAATTGAGCAAGCAAAAGATCAAGTGTTTTTATATTAGCCTTTACCTGTACACAAAAAAAAAAAATTATGGAAGAGTCTTCAAATAATGGTTGCAGCATTACCACTCTATGAGGTAATTTCATATCAAACATATTTTGTGCCACGCGAAGAAGTTCCAGTTCATTCTTATAATTATTTAAAGTACTTATGCCAAGTTCCCTAGAAGTAAGGACAAAACAACATAATCCACCCAATTAGAAATTGAAAAATGTTAGGATAGCAATGTCAAACAAAGTGGTATTATTAACCTTCTTACTAGATTCATGTGGATCGCCCCTCTAGTTGTCTATTATGCTTATTCTATTCAAACACAAATGACTATCGTATACACTTGAATGCAAATGCAGCCAATTAGGACTTAAGTTCCCTTATTGTCTTTTCAACCAAACGAATTTGTATTTAAAGGTTACTGAAAGGACAATTTGAAACTCACAAGTTTACCTATAGCTTTCTGTTGCTATTATAGGATCATTATCAGTCATGGCAAGAATCAAATTAGCATATACATGTGCTTAAACTGGATTGGACAACTTGTGGGCAGCTTTGTGCTTTTCCTAAATGTGATGCTGGCCTATTTTCTTCGCCTAGTTGGCGTCAGGGCTTATTTTTTCTTTTTTTTTTTCAAAGAAAATAAAGGTGAGAATCCTTGACCAATGTAGTCTTTTATTAAGTTTTTGTTTTGCAAAAATTGAAATAGTTTTCTTCTTTTCTCCTTTCCCTTTTGCTTTCAATCTCTTAAACTTCAGCTTCAAGATCTCTTGTATATTACAAATTAATTCAATCTACAAACAACAAAAAATGACTCACATGCAATGGAATAATATTTTAAAAAACCCAAACCAAATTTCATTAACTTTAAACATCAAAAACTTAAATTTCAACAGCAAAACCAAGATTAAAAACAATTGCGATATTCATAGTCAAATATAAAAAAAAAAATCAAAATCCACAAAATAATATGCATAAAACTAAATTAATTATGTCTAGATTCGAGTTGATTCATGAACATTTTTACCTGAACATAGTCCAACTAAAAATTCTAAAACCAAGATTATAAAGCATCCATATAAAAATGATTTTGAAATGATTCGGTCATAGAGTGGTTTATCAATCTCTAAAATTGTAAATCACCTATGCAACATTGATTTAATGCAGTTCAAAAGCGGTGTTCGATTTTAAAATTTTACAAAATACAATAATTAATTAATGACTTCCCAATATAATAAATAAAAATAATAATTACATAATCTAAATTCACAAAACCATATTACAATTTATATTAAAATTAAATATTACAAAGTTCAAACCGCAAACATCTACTACAAGTTTATAAAGAAAAACTATTCAAACTCAAATTTTGTAACCTACATTTCCATTGGAGAAAAAATAAATTAACAAAAAAATGAGTACTACAAAGAAAAGAAAAATGATAAAAACTAAACTATATATTAAAACAAGAATAACTTTCAATCCAAATATCAGCATTGATTTAAAAATTAGCCAAAGAAATAATTAATAACAAAAGTGTCCATCCTTAGATTTTTTTCCAGCCTACAACATTTTTTTTAGTGTTTACATTATATATTATATTATATTATATTATATATTTTATATAATTTATAAATATAAAATAAGATATCATATATTTGAAAAATTATATCGAATTAGAGGAGATTGAATATTGGAATCAAAATCAATACCTAATCATTTTCTAAATGGGCTTTTTTTTGTTCAAAATTTATTTAAATTTAATATTTTTATCCAAACTTATTAAATATCAAACAAATAAAGGTTTAGATACATAATCTAACCCTTAGACAGATTTATGATTTTCAACTTTAATTGAATAATTTATTTTTAGTACAACATTTCACTTTTTTGTTTATTTAAAATAATTTTAACGAGACATTTATTAAATTATAAGTTATGAAAGTTTCTTTTTAATTTATTAAAAACATTAAAACAATGTTTGATATAAGATAATTAAATTACTGTATTTGACAAGCATTTAATGATTTACATAATAATGATTTTGAATCATCAAGAGTGATAGATCACTATTTTTTATGGTGATTTAATTTTCATATAAAAAAATAAAAAACTTTTTATCATGGAGTTGAAGTAATATACAAAATTAATAAAATTTAATTTTACTTATTTAATATCTAAATTAAAATTTTGTTGTATCTTAAATTTTAATTATCTATATTATAATTTTTATATTTTCAAACTAATATTAATTGTAAAAAACTTAGAATAATTTGTGTATTTTTACTTTTATTAATATTTTATATATAATATGATATTTGTTTAAATTTGTGTATTTTTACTTTTATTAATATTTTATATACAATATGATATTTGTTTTTCTTTTATTATGAATTTAATAGATTGAATTATTTTATAATTCAAATATTTTTATATAATTTATATTAAAAATAATTTATCTATAAATAAATATATTTATTAATTTAATAATAAATTTATAAATAAAAATTATTAATATTTTATAAATTATTATCTTTAAACAATTTTAAAATTATTAATTTGTGCAACTAATACAATACACATGATTAATTTTATATTTTTAAACAAAATAATATTTGATTTGAATAAATCAAATACAATAATATTTAATTTATAAAAATTAATTATTATTAACCAAATAAAATAATTTCAAATCACAATCATTAATATTACATTGATAATAAAATTATCATAATAGTTACATTACCAGAATAATCTTATAAAAATGCCTAAAGTTATCTAAAGTGATTACTACACCAACGAAAATAAGCGGATTTAAACTAAAGATATTTAATGATTAATTGATGGTAGAGTTAGGTGGACAAAGAACATTTTTCTAACACCACGAAATTCCACTTATGCCCTTCAGCCCCCAGCATAACTAACTTGTCTGGCCAGTCCGTCTCACTCTGACACGCTTAGCTTGCTCTAAATTCTCAAATACTACCAAAGACTGTATGAGTAACTTGGTCATTTCCTTTTAACCACGTCTGTTCCAACACTCTTCGTTCTTTTTCTCCAAGCATTTTACACAAAAGCCCAAATTTACTCAGAAAATTATTTTTTAAGAATATCACTGGGAAAAAAAGAAAGTACGGAAGAAAAGAAAGAAAATAGAAAATCCAATCGTTTCTACTCAATTTCACTAGATCTGATTTCCCTGGATTTTCATTTCTCGATCCAAAAAAACAAACAGCAAACCCTAAAAAGACCAAAAGAGGGGGAAAAAGAAAATAAAAAAGATATGTTCAGATTCGAATTTGAAAAGATCAGGAAACGAATTTGATTTAATCGAAGGAATTTTTTTGTTTGTTCCTTTTTGTTAATAAAAAATCTGTTATGGCCGACACCGTCTCCGTGATTCCCACCTCCGTTCTCCGCAATCTCTCCGACAAGCTATACGAGAAGCGCAAGAACGCGGCCCTTGAGGTTCTCTTTCCTTTGTTTTTTTTTTTTTTTTTAATTTCCGTGGAATTTAATTTCTGTCTTTTTTGTCGAATGATTGAATTACTTAACTTTTTGTTATCATAATTGTGTGTAGGTTGAAGGAATTGTGAAACAGCTGGCGTCGTCGGGAGATCACGAGAAGATATCGGCGGTGATTAACTCGTTGACCACGGAATTTACCTACTCACCACAAGCCAATCACCGTAAGGTTGGTGGATGATGAATAATTTCCTGAACTGTGAAAGATTTTATGAGATTTTGTATCTATTTAATATAAATTTTGGTGTTGTGTTTATGTAGGGAGGATTGATAGGTTTAGCTGCTGCCACTGTTGGGTTGACTTACGAAGCGGCCCAATATCTTGAGGTAAGGATTAGTTCACCTTTAAATAGTTGTATGTTAACATGTTTAATTCTTGTTAGAAGCCTGTAGAATGATGTTTACCATGGCATTGTTATTTGAGAACAGAGAACTACGATTCAAGGTTTAAAGATTTTGCTCTATGATTGTAATGCTTTAGGGTTGTTAATGCGGTTATAGTGTTTGTTTATTAATAAGAAAGCAACTGCTGTCGGCATACATTTGATGTGCTTTATTAGTTATTACCTGACATAAGCTATGGAATTTTCATTCTAGATTTAGTAAACTTTAGTTTTTGACCTTCAGACTTCTGAGATCTTTGGTGGGAAGTTGGAGATACATCTACTCAACATGGGAAATCAGGGCTTGCTTTTGATGAAATCTGAATGGGATATAAATACTCCTCTTACTGACTTGGTTCGAGAATTTCTAGTATTGCCATTATGATTACTTGATAATAATCAAATTTATAAGTAGACAAATTTTAGAAAGGTGGAAGACCAATGACCAACTAATCAAATTTATAAACCTATAAATGCTTCATACTTTCTGGCCAAAGGATCATATCTCTTGGTGTCATGTATAGAAGTGTCATGAAGTACAGAAACAAGTTATAACTAGGCAACATTTGATCTTGGTATCATGTATCCTTCCACCACTTGACATATAGCTTAATATGTGTCATTAAATTGAATTATTACTAACAATAGCCATTCTGGTAATTGGTAATGCATTGGTGTATTTTCTTATTTGTTTAATGTGCACATGAGCTCTTTCCTCATTTCTTCAGTTATACTTATATAAACTTCTAAAAGAATTGGAAACGCTTAAAAGATTGAATTAGACATCGATGCACATTGAATGACATAATTGAGCAAGTACATAAATTATTGTTGCTTTTGGTTTGATCTCTTACTCTTGAGGAAAGATCAGATGTAAATATTGCTGGTTGTTTGTTCCGTCATAAGCTCTGTTTTCATTATTCGCCAGTAAACAGTAATTATAAATTTTGATTAAAAAGCTTCCAAGCTGTGTAGTAGCCTGGTACTGTTGCTGCATCTATTGCTAGATTTCTGTTCTATGCCTGCCTTTGTAGCTTGGCTTGGGTGTTAGGGTGTTTTGTTTTTTTATGTTTCCTTTTAGTCTTGCAGGGGAAGAGAGGGTGGGTGTTGGGATGGGGCAGGCTATAAGGGTTGAGACTTTATGTTCTTTAATGCAGTTAGAGGGGATGGTGATTGTTTCAAAATTTACTCTTTCTCAAGTAGAATAGAATGTAAAATTGGAAAACTGTTGCCTGCTGTTATGTTGGATGATTAGTTTTTTTTCCTGTATTAGAAAAAGCGTCAGTTCTTTTTCCCTGTTGTTTAGTTTGTTAACTTCTATTTCTTTTGTATATAATTTAGTGATTAATTTACTTTTGATGCAATCTGCCAGCAAATTGTGCCTCCAGTGCTTAAATCTTTTTCTGACCAAGATAACCGAGTTCGCTATTATGCCTGTGAAGCTCTATATAACATTGCAAAGGTGAAAGGAGATTGGTTTGCTTATGACCTTTTCTTATGATTTTTTGCTTTTTGACTAATAATGGACATGATATGCTGTCTTCTTCTGTGCAGGTTGTCCGAGGAGATTTTATCATATTTTTCAATCAGATTTTTGATGCTTTATGCAAGCTATCAACTGATTCAGATGCCAATGTACAGAGTGCTGCTCACCTTTTGGATAGGCTTGTGAAGGTTAATAGTTGCACTCTCATCTAAATGTTGGCATCTTGGTAATTATGTGAAATTTGGGAATTTATTGCTCCTATTTTGCCATGTGAAACAGGACATTGTTACTGAAAGTGACCAGTTCAGGTGTCTTTATTCCCTTCCAATTTCAGCCTATGAATCTTGTTATATTTAGAGCTCTCATTCGAATTTTCCGGGAACTATGTTTATAATGTTATTTAATTGGTTGCTTTTTCTTCAGTATTGAAGAATTTATACCATTGTTGAGAGAGCGGATGAATGTCCTGAATCCTTACGTCCGTCAGTTTTTGGTTGGATGGATAACTGTACTGGATAGTGTTCCAGATATTGACATGTTGGGTTTCCTCCCCGATTTTCTTGATGGTAATAAAGTTCTGTTCTTTTTAAACTAATGTTTTACTTCTCTACTAGAAGTGATTTTAATTTGGTCTTGATAACTTTCAGGTTTATTTAATATGTTAAGTGATTCTAGTCATGAAATACGGCAACAAGCTGATTCAGCACTTTCAGAGTTTCTCCAAGAGATTAAGAACTCCCCAGTAAGACTTCTAATAACATTCTGTCTTTGATTGTTAGATTGGCTCCATGGCCTCTTGTCATAAAGTTTCTTATGCCAAGATTTTTTTTACACATTTTTATGAGAATAGCATGATTGATACCTCAATCTTTTGGTAAAAAAAAAAAGTTATGGGTTTATTATGTTTAATTTACCGAAGCATTTCTCATAAAAAGAAAAATATTTTGTTCATTTGTAATTTTCTGACTCGAGCAGTGCTACTCTTGAAGTCTGTAGATTATTGCCGTATGGCTAAAATACTGGTGCAAAGGGCAGCTTCTCCTGATGAATTCACTCGGTTAACAGCTATCACTTGGGTAAGTAGAATTGGACTTTACATTGCCACAGAAAGGGGAACAATTTTAAAGTAGAAAAGAGGAAAAAAATCTTGATAATGGACTCTTCTCCTTTTCAATATATTTGTTCATACTACGATATTTTTTATTTTTCTTTCTATTTATATACTAATTATTTCATCTGGTACTTTCACATTATAGAAGGATCAAATTTGATTTTCCCATTGTACAGATATATGAGTTTGTAAAACTTGGTGGAGACCAGCTTGTTCCTTACTATGCTGACATACTGGGAGCCATTCTCCCCTGCATATCTGATAAAGAAGAGAAAATTAGAGTGGTAAGTTTATTTCTTCTATGGTCTCCTTAATGTATCTTAAATAACTATCTGCAATATCTTGTAGAAACTCATGTGGAGTTCTTTCCTTTGTGTTCATTTTGTGTGTTTGTTTTCATATTCTTTTATTAGGTTGCTCGTGAAACCAATGAGGAGCTTCGTGCAATCAAGGTTGATCCAGCAGAAGCCTATAATATGGGTGCCATTCTCTCCATTGCGAGGAGGTGTAGTTTTTGTTACCTGGGAAAATTTCTACATTTGAAATGTTACTAGCAGTTTGCTATGGTTATATGTAGTGCTTCCGTATTTTGAAGAGCTATAGAAAAGTGTTTAAAGTGGTGCTTATTTCACTCCTGAAATAATTTCACTTTACATTGATTTTGTAGTAATTACTATTATTTTGACTGATCAGGCAACTTGGTAGTGAGTGGGAGGCCACTAGAATTGAAGCATTGCACTGGATATCAGCCCTTTTAAACAGACATCGTACTGAGGTGAGAGGGCAGTTATTTGTGAATTTCATGCTGGTTGTGTGTGTGTTTTCTCATATTTTAATTTTTTTGCTATCATCATAATGGCCTTGCTTGCGCAAAAACTTCATTAAATTCCAACTTTGTGTTAGCGATGGAGTATCTAAACACTCCTTGCAATAAATCTGAAATCTTTTAAAATTTTACCTCATATGGTTTCTGGCTTTCATGTTTATGTTCCTTTCTACCATTCTCGTAACTTTGAAGTTTCAAGGAGTGTCGACCACTTTTTTATGCATTGGTGCTTCAAGATTTGTTTAGTCCTAGTAATAATTCTCATTAAATTGATAAAAGATGATGGTTGTTACATTACAAGTAGATGCAAAGTATGAAATGTCTCAATCTAAATTTCCACTAGCCTTTTTTATTCTGAAAGTAGAGTTGATGTAATGGTCAACAATGAGATCTTGATGGCTGCTAAAAACAATCCTTCTTGACTTATTCTTTTTGTAACATGGATATGCATGGTATCTGCGTCTCAATAAAGTCCTAAGTGACCTCTCTTTGGAACATTATTATCACTTTTGGTGGAAGCACATCTGATGCTGCATGCCTGTAATCTTCTCATGTACATCAAAAAGACCATGTTCCCTGTGTAGGGGCATGATAATTTCAACATAAATCGAATAATCTCTTGTAAAATTTGTTATTTGCATGTTAGATTCATTTGCAATTTCTGATGCAACTGTTGCTACGATATGGATGATGTTTAATTTTTTACTTGAAACAGGTCTTGAGTTTTCTAAATGACATATTTGACACCCTTTTGAAAGCTCTATCTGACTCTTCTGATGAGGTAAATTTCTGCTCCTTTTTATGTGTTTCGTATTTAATTGTTCCTTTAAGGGTTTTTTTTCTAAATTTCTTTACTCTTGTTTCTTATATTACTATCATATAATTACAATAGAATGTGTCTTCCATATATTATTTTGGTTTTTGGATGGAACTGTTTTTGAAACTCAGCTGGCAATATCCTTATAGTCATATTCTCAAGAACCTAGAAAGAGTCTTGCCTTTTCAAGAGGTTTTTCTTTTCCCCATTCTCTCTTTCTTCCTTTTCTTTTGGAAGAGATTGGGGATTAATGATGGGTGTAGGATATGTCTATACTGTTGTCAAAACATTGTACCTAAAAAATAACTAACAAAAAAATTGGGGGTTGGGGGGGAGATTGCAAACTATAGTGTTATGAAGAAGGCTAAAATTCCTATATTTCACTGTGAGAGTGTGATATCTCTGCTTTGAACTCAAGTAATTTGCTTGTTGCCTTTTGGTTGTTTTCTTAATTTTGCTAGAAAACTTCTATCTTAATCTCCCCGACTGTTTTTCAAAATTTAGTATGAGTTACTCTCAGTCACCATTTAACATTCATTATTGAGTTTCTTTTGTTTTCTGCAATCTTCCATCATTTGTAGCTCTTCTTTTATTCCAACAATTGGTCCTGGTTACTGCTTCCCTTGTCTTGAAGCTCATTACTAGTTCTTTTGTCCTTTTATTAGGCTGAATGGATGATAATGAAACAATGCTTTGGAAATTTACTTCCTTGGAATGTTTTGAGAGCATCTTACCCGTACTCCTTTTCCATTTATTAAGCATAGATGGATGTTATTGTGTTGGAATGTATCTAATGTTGCTCTGCTCGTCCTCTGAAATACCTGTTATTTGTCATTAAATTGAAATTTAATACTGTTCATATTGATTTTATGAATTTTGAGTCCCAACTTTTTACATATTTTGTCTCTTTATTAATGTATGTTTGTCTATGTGGTGTTAACCTAAAGTTTCTCTTGTTTGTATATACGAATTTATCTTGCAATTTGGATTTTTGCGCCAGGTGGTACTCCTGGTTCTTGACATTCATGCATGCATAGCACAAGATCCCCTACACTTCCGCCAGCTTGTTGTTTTTCTGGTGCATAATTTCCGGGTTGATCATAATCTTCTGGAGAGGTGATTCTAGGCCTCTCAAGCCCCAGTTTTTTTTTTTTGGGAAAAATATTATTATTATCATCAGGAATTGTTTTGTTCAGATGAGTACTCATGTTGGGTACATGGCCAACTTGCTATGATGCTATGATTATTGTAATTATGTACATGTGTCTCATCTCTTTCTTTTGCAAATGACTCTTCTGTTTTCTTAGGCGTGGTGCTTTGATAATCCGTAGACTTTGTGTTCTCTTGGATGCTGAAAGAGTGTACCGTGAGCTATCCACCATACTAGAGGGAGAAGCAGACCTAGATTTTGCCTGCATTATGGTTCAGGTTCTGTCATGCATTTAAGAATTCAACTAATGCAATAATGTTCTTTGGTTAAAGTAATAAAATGAAGCAACTCCATAACTTTAAATATATGATAGCCATGACGTTGTTATTTAACTTGAAATAGTATTTTCTTTATCTTTTAGTAGAATGGTATTTCCATTAAGCACCTAATTTTAAATTTTCTCCTCTTGTGTTTCAGGCTTTGAATTTAATTCTACTCACTTCTTCTGAGCTATCTGATCTTCGGAAACTTTTGAAACAGTCACTAGTTAATGCTGCTGGAAAAGATTTATTTGTTTCTTTGTATGCTTCATGGTGCCATTCAACCATGGCAATCATAAGCCTCTGTTTATTAGCTCAGGTAAGAATCTGTAACTCCTTTAAATGTGTAGCCAGTCTCTCCCTTCTCGTGTGTGGTGGGGTGAGGGAAGAGGTTTGGGGTTGCACCATCTACTGTCATGGTTGTTAATCTAGTATTTCTTTGCTTGATAGACGTACCAGCATGCCAGTGCTGTGATTCAATCCCTGGTCGAGGAAGATATTAATGTCAAATTCTTGGTCCAGCTTGATAAATTGATTCGCTTGCTCGAAACTCCAATCTTTGCGTATCTTAGATTGCAGGTGCTTCAATAGATACTAACAACTTACCTTACAGTCTTGTCATTTTAATAGTTTTAATAGGCTTGATTTGTAGGGAATTGCAACTTTGCATATGTTCTCTCTTTATTTAGTTTTGGTTCACTTCTGATATTTGCTCATATTTCAGCAAGTCTTGGGGCAGTATTTTTTTTATTTATGGTTATTTGTCTACATATAATCTCTCTCTCCTTCCTTCCCCCCACTGGCATGCACTTTTGTACTATACTTTATTAAAACTAAACTATGGGATAGCATGCGTTTTTGCCATAATATAGATGCACACTCTAATCATAACGTTTAGAATTTTGCCTGAGCCGAACCATTTTATGATGGGATGTTTTGCCTATGATGGGCATTGCCTTATTGAAAAGGTTATGCATCCAGTTATGCATCCAGCATATTAGTGACTGGTCATCAAACTTTTATTTGATGAACAAGTGCCCTTATCAGACAGTTGCATATCTTCTTGCACTGAAAGATAGTTTGCAGCTTGCTGGTCATTTTTCCATGCCAAAATATATTAGCTTTGGTGAATTCATTAGTTGTCATTATAGTTGCATTTTTCTTGTAAGTAATTGGTTTATTTCTATTTTCCTTGTTTTTCTTTTAAATTTAGAATATGTCATGTATCTGAACCTCTTTCTGATTTCCAGCTTCTTGAACCCGGAAGATATATATGGTTGCTGAAAGCCTTGTATGGACTTTTAATGCTACTTCCACAGGTGTGTCTGTGCTACATTCTTTTCAAGGCACCCTGCAATCAAGCCAGCCAAACAATAAATAAATAAAAGAAAATGAATATCAGTGCAAACTTGATTTTGTCAAAATGGGTCAACATTTTCTTTTACTCCACTGTTGGGTATGGGGATGGTTGATTGGTTTTAAGGGGACATCTCTCGTGTGTTTGTGCCTGTCACTAATGGACACACACATTGTGCATTAGTTTTTCATTGTTAAATTATTCTGACCTTTTTATTTAACTGCAGCAAAGTGCTGCATTCAAGATACTGCAAACTCGTTTGAAAACTGTGCCATCATACTCCTTCAATGGTGATCAACTTAATCGAGCATCATCAGGCAACCCGCACTCCCAAATTTTACATCACAGTGGATCACAAATCACTGAGGATGGTGACATAAACCAAGAGAATGGGAATTTACAGAATGGAATTAACTTTGCTTCAAGGCTGCAACAGTTTGAGCAAATGCAGCAACAACACCGTATGTCACAAGTGCAATCACGAAACAGTTCCACTTCATTATAGAAGGTGTGTGAGCTGCTTGTTGAGTCTCATTTTATTGTCCTGCATCATTAGTTTAATGATTATGTTAGACATATGGCAAATTAGAACATTTGATTGTTTGTTAAGAGAGAGGTTGAAAGCAAGACCTCTCCCGTAAGAAGAGTTTGCTTCAAACTCTTGAATTATGCTTTATGTTGGGCAATTGGCAGAAAAAGGAAGGTCCTGTTGACTGTCCTTTCTTTCGAAGGTTTCATCTTTATACATCTTTCCTGTCTCACAGAGTCTTTTATGGTTTTCCACTGTATGGGAATCAACTTGTGATATCTCTCCGGTATGCAGGAGGGGCTAAAAGCAGAAGAACCCTGGCGGGCAGTTGCAAATTTAGTTGTTCCTGCTGCCTATTGACAATTCAAGGTCAAATGTACGATGATCTCATGATACTTGAGCCTGGGGTGAGAGCTAGTATAGTTTGTAAAATTGTATATAATAGTAGTTTGTTTCTATTAAACTCATGGAGGTTGGGACGGTGAAAATTGGGTTATGAATATAATCTTTGGGTGTATTCCCAGCTTTTCTTTTTTCCTTTTGTAAACAGGATACGACCATGTGGTTCTGTTATTTTTATTGAAAACCACATGGATTAGAGGGAGGTAATGAATCTAGAAAATACAGTTTGTTATTATTATTTTTTTTCTTTTTAAGTCTGTTCATGTCTTGTAGCGATCTTATAAAGTAAGGGGAATTGCCAATTCATGTACACTTTATTGAACCGTTTATTCGATACATAGTTGATTTTATTGGGTTGTTGTACTCTCTCCAATCGCTACCTTTTGCTGGCCTAAAAGGAAATTATATTGGACCCTATCCAACATAAAAAATGGATGCCAACGGGTTTAACCTTTTGTGATATGGTTTCAAGTTACTTTTCTGAAATTCACTCGAGTTGTCCTTTTATTGAAAGTTGTGCAAGGAAATTGAATCTGCGGGCAGACTGACTTATTATCTAACAATTTAGGCTTCGTTAGAACGGTTTCCAGGAAGAGATTTTTTTGAATTTCATTAAAATCTCTTTTTTTGTCATTCAAATGAAGCATTAATCAAATATTTGTTGAGGTAAGAGGCATGACAACTTCTACTATCTTTTCTGTTTTCTTATACATTTTGGAACCTCTCGTTTCCAAAGGTATTATTATTATTAGAAAAGAAGATATGGTCTATATGACGAAGAAAGGACTGCTTTTCAAGTCCTGTCTTTTTATTTCCATTTCTCTCACTTCTGAGTCAAACAAAGCATAAAAGTCCCTTCCTCCAAGTAGACATTATTTCTCTTTAAAAAAATAAATAAATGCGCCAGGACAAGGCACGTTGATTGGTGGCTGTTGACTAAACCTGTGAATTTCGGTGGCTCCAACTTCTATTTTTCCTGTTCGTATTAAACTGCCAATTCTTCTACATGAAGCAGTCCTTATATGTTACCATTATTTTTTTCTAAAGTCCACCATAAGACTGAGTCTAGACTCCAGCAGTTGCTCAGCCTGATTATGCTAACGGTAGTGTCACGGTCTGTGCACTGATCTAGGCCAGGGATTATATCCAAGGGCAGCAAGGACACTTGCCCGAGTGACACCAAGCTGGAGCTGCACAGATCTGGAGCTCGAATCTTGTCCGTGACATTAAGACTACCTTCAACTACACACAATTACCTAGTTACAGTTGAATTGTCATATTAGCTACTTAAATCATTCCTTTTACCATTCTGTATTTGCAATTTGCCAAGCTTCCAAATCTAGCACCAGTAGAAAATACAATTAAACCATGTAATCATGAATAAGATAGGCTATTCCTTCATGTACATGATTGTACACAAATCTATGATCAGCCTTGTGGTTGTCAAGTAGGAAGCATGAACCAAAGCTTTCTTATACAGAAATCGGATTCAAAACTGTCTGCTTGATATTAGAATTCTAGAATCCATAGGCCATTTAGTTACACAGAGCCATACTTTAAGACCACAAAGACTTTCTGCAGCTTTACCGTACAGTAGTTTTGTTTTTTGACAGTGTTTACAAAGCATATATCTTCTCAAGGTCAGAATTATAGTCATCAACATCTGATATATTTGCTGAGTATGACCATGAGAAAGACTTGCTCCCATTTGCCCTTTTTATTCGTCTTTGAGAGTCACTGCGAAAAATCCCAAAATGTTGTCGAAAAACAAAATAGCACATGCTCGCAAGTGTGACAACAAGAATTGGTGCTCCCAATAGGGTTATAGCAACAGCCATCCATGAATACCCTTTTCCCACAACTACAAAAGCTATGGATAAATATGCTGCGCAAGTGCAAGCACAGGCTGCCCACATCAGCTTGTTAACTACTGATACAACTTGCTTCTGAGCAGTTGTGTCCCATGCAACCAATGTGATCTGAACAACGACAACAGCCAGAGATATGAAGAGGGATGTAGCATTCAGGAGGCAGAACACTCGGAAACCTACCTGATCAGCTATGTTAGCCTTCCCGCTATCAGGTTCATCTTTTACATATTGACCAGGCAAGTTGAAGATTGCCAGGAAGGCATTTGATGCAAAGAGAACAGCAACAATAGTAACAGAATTGGTGGTGTTCTGGACAGCTTCTCTGTGAAGTTTCCTAAGTTCCTTGGCAATTCCTGAAACTCTTCGGTTGGTTTTTTCGTTTTGTATAAATTGTGAGTGCACCTCATGCTTAATATCACTCACAGTCCTCTTAAGTTCCATGTTCTCATCTACTTGGCCAACATACCTAGCATGCTTAGCACCAGCCTCTGTCAGAGCTTCTTGAATTTCAAGTGAAGCTTCTCCATACTGGAGTTTGTCAGCCAAATCCATTGCGGTTTCATGCTGATTATTAATGGCATTGACATCGATAGATCTATAAGTTAACAACAAGCTCACATTCTGAAAAGCAGAAAACAGTATATTATTAGTAGAGGAACAAGACTAAAAATGAATATGAGGATAGTTATAACGCATAATTTCTGTGATTCATTAGTTTTAAATAAAGAGATTTTCATGCAATTGAGAGCTGTGGCTGCAAATGCACAGAAGTCAAAAATTTAAATTTTTAGTTCTCATTATGCTTCCATTATTTTCCTTCTTAAGTGAACTTGCCCCCTTTACCCCTTTTAAGGATGAACTGAGAAGAAGACTTTTAGCAAGCAACACATATTTTACTGGTGAAATTGTGCTCTCAAAATAAGCTCATCATCAAATCCTTAATAAAAATTTCACTTCCACCATTTTTGGTATACGTACAGAAATCTATTTACAATCCTCTCTCCTTGGATGTCAGTAGATGCGTGCACCTGAGCTACCAAATAGTAATTGAAATGAGTTGTGTTCAACATAAAACTGAACAAGAAGTTTCACGTTTATCCAATGCAGAACAATGTATAGAATCTGCTGTCACCAAATGGGGTATATGCACAGGGAAAGAGAGAGAGATACCTGTGGACGAGATTTCCGCGTAGTTATGTGCAATGCTGTATTCTCCTTTTTGTCACGTTCATTCAGTATGGAGTGATCTGCGAGCAAAATTTCATCTACTACAGCAGGACTCTGACCCTTCACAGCCATATGGAGTGCAGTTTGGCCTTTCTTATCCTTAATGCTCACAATTCCTCGATCACAATCTATAAGGGCTTTTACTATACTGATAAGGCCATATCTTGCAGCTGTATGCAATGCCGTCTTTCCATTTTTGCGCACTATCCTTATGCAGCTCGCATCAGCACTCAATATTGCATTTACCACATCCAAATGATCTTTAACAGCTGCAGAATAAAGGGGGCTGGTATTTGAAGAGTCGCATAACTTGCAAAGCTCCGGCCAAATGCCCAAAAGTTCCTTCACAATGCCTACAATACATAAATCCATATTGGTCAAAACACAATTCATTAATGGCAAGTACTAGTGGCAAGATGCAGCTGCAGACAAAAGATGCATCAAAATAACAATAATAATCCTATATAGACCAGGCTCAACTTTAATTTATGGTTAACAATACCCATTTTCAGCCAAAGTTGCTGGTGTTTGAAGCTGCTTTATTAGACTAATTGAGCTATCAGGCAACACCAACCTCCAAAATTTTCGATCCAATTGTATGTGCTATCCCAAATTACAAAAGGTAAAGCTGAACAACAGAACATACACATGGCAATGACAATTATGAGTTGATTAAATAATTAAACTGATTTCAAAATTTCTTTCAATTCCTCCACCAGATGCATGTTTTCATCAAAATTCACTCGCTCTCCCTCACAGAATAAAATAAAATAAAATAAAGAATTCCCATCAAAATCAAGCTGAACAATAGAACCCATTGTAAAAGATTAGCAAAAGAATCAGAATCATACCCAAATGTCCTAACTTAGCAGCAACATGAAAAGTATTCATATCAGACTTGGACCTGATCTTAACAACCTCAACATCACAGAACTTGAGCAAGTAACTGAAAATCTCTTGGTAATTGTTCTCTGCAGCAATATATAAACCAGTCCTTCCTAACTCACTTTGTGCTGCCATCAAATCGGACACCGCTGATGATCCATCAGCCGGTTCATCTTTTGTCAACTTATCCAACAACTGCTTGACAGACTCAAGCTCCCCAGATCGGACAGCTGCAAAAAAAGATTGCTGAGTAAGGAAACGTAAAGGCTTTGACTCTATCATAGTTTCTCCTCCTTCTTCCTCAGTTTTCACTCTTCTTCTCTGTTCATTTAACGGGTTGTTCTCCTTTTGTAAAGCTTAAAAGCTGTTGTTTCCTTTGTTGTAAAAGACAATAATAGAGCTATACGGCTAATGAGTAGTGGTGGCCTTTGAATTTCTTTGCAAGGTTTTATACTTTTATGGTCATGATTTATTTGATTGAATGAGAAATGTAATGGGGTCTCTATTTGCAATCATGTGGCAGGGTTGACTGTTAAAGAAGGGACAAAATCTGGTGATATTCCTGGTTAACCCAACAAACACTTCACTATTTTCTCTTTTGGAATTGGTATCTCATGAAATGTAAATACAATAACAATCTAATGTATTTGTATAATGAAAGTTTCAATGCTGTCAAGATTCTAAGAATCTCAACTGTTGGGTGTTTTTGTTTTTTAAGGGAATACTTGCTTTTCTTATGTGTGCTGTTCTTTCTTGGGTAAGTTGTACAATGTAACACTTCTTGCTCTGGGAGTGACACAGTCAGTTGAGTTCAGTTTGGTATTTTTTTCGTTTTGTGATGACAACTTTCATGTCTACTTCTTGTTCAAACCTTCAGCTTTGTTTCTGCTTATATTTGTTCCTTTTTGGGTAAGGACTGAAGAGGATTAACCAACTTCCTGTTTGAAATAGTAATATTTAGATACCGAATTCATATATTTCTGTTAGCTTTAATGTAAAGTAAAAAAATTATGATGTTTTAATTTATGTTAACATATCAGAAATTTTTTAAAAAAATATATACGATTTTTATAAGAATTTTAAATTATATCATATTTATATATTTTTTCATATTATATTATTTTTAAATTATCAAATGTGTGATATAAAAGATAATATATTCCTATTAAAAATTATAAAAAAAAATTCCAATTCATCGATTGTGACTTTAAAATGTTTATCAGTTTGAATTAGAATAAATTTCTTTACGACTCTGAAACAATTCAACTGAAATTTATTTATCTATTTCAATATTTAAACTATATCTGAAATAAAAGACTTAGGGAGGCCCATATTTGAGACTCGGAAAAGGGCTGGACTCTTGAGTTTTTTCATCTTCAGCCCACTAAAAAACAATATAAATGGGGCTCCATGGTCCCTTCATAGCTTGGGTGGGTAAAACCCAAAATGGATGGGTTTGCTTTCTAGGAGCCCAAATTGCTAATAAAAATTGTGGCTGTTGTGGTGGGCTAAAAAGGTAAATATGTTTGAATTGCCTTCCATTTGATAGTATTAACTAAGATATAATATAGGTATAAATTCGATAATTGATAAACGTTTGCTTTGTTTAAATTTTTTTTGCTATAAAAAAAATTAGGATCAAGAAGATTTTTTTAATTCAAAATCAGAACAAGTCATAAATTAAAAAATATATATTAAATTTATACATTATTCATTAAAAAATATTACTGAGAATGAACTTCAAATCTTGTTAAATCGATCGATCTTCATTGAATAATTCAAAATTTAAACTTAAATAAAAAAATTATTAAAAAATAAAATCAAAAGCACACCTGGCTTATCATCAGTAAAGAGAAATTCGTCGGTGAATGAAGGGTGCGTGGCGGCTTTGGCTTTTTTCCCGTAATCTCGTTTTGGTTTTGCCGTTTCTTTCCAATTTTAAATCTGGCATTCAGCCAAAGATTCGTATATTCAGACGATAATGAAGGACAACACAACCACACATCAAAATATTAAAACAAAACTTATAATGTCATTTAAAAATTTTTCAAAATTTTTTCCATCTTTTTATTAAGCATTTTTTAAGGTGAAAAATTAAAAAAAAAGTAATGATTACAGCAAATATTATGTCCAAGATCCTGTGATTATTTACAAGACAATGAAGCAATGCTATGATTTTATTAGTTTACTTTTGATTTTCTAATCTCCTCTTATCTAATATATATATATATTATAACAACATACATAAACAAATTTATTATATGGGCATTTACGTTGAAAAATTTCTTAAATGACACAAATAATTTTTTTTAAAATAAAATATTTTCATTTAATTATAAATTAGATAATTTTAAGTTTATTCAAACATCAAAATTATTCAAATTATAACCAAAAATCAAATCAATTTAAAAATATATTTTATAAAGTTAAAAATATGAAATATGGATTTTATTATTTTAATAAATAGTTTTAGTTGTTTATCAAATAATTTTATTTAAAAAATTATTTAATTATCAAAATCTTTCAAACATATTTAAAAACTATAAAGATTAAGTTTATCTAAATCTTTCAATAATATTTTTTATTTTGATTTAAAAAATTTATGTAAAATATTAAAAATTTTGGCAACTTTATATAAGATTTTGAAATTTTCAAAACTTTTCATCTTAAATTTTTAAATAATAAAATCATTAAAATGATTATATCCATTGGAACTCTAATTATCCAATTTATATTTCAAATATATGTAAAAAATTTAATATTATCTTTATCACTTAATATGTCAATTTTAAATTTTAAAATTATATATTTAATCTTAATTACCACTAAAAAATTCTTCTACAAATTTAAGACTACAAATGTAATGTGTTATATATTAATTTTTTATTTTTTTAGTAAATTTTTTCAAGATATATTCTATTACAATTGTAATTTATTTTTTTTGTTTACAACTTTTTTTCAAAATATATTTTATTATTATTATTATAGTTTCATTCTTTAAAAAAATAATTTTTTTAATTTTTTTTTCACATATTTTTTAATAATTTTTATATTTTATATAATAATTTAATCGAAATTACTAAACAGAATTATATATGCTTTGACCACCGCGGCAATGGTCCCAAGGGTTACATGGTCTTTCGTGTTTATTGGGTGGCGGGCTATTAGTCACACAATTCTCTTGGTTTTTCTCATTGCATGGTGGGATGAAGTTCCCAATTGTCATGGATTCTGTTGAAAAACTTGAAAGGCTTTCGGGCTAAGGTCTTTGATGTTCATCGTCACAATATTGATCATATCACTGTACCTGCTACCTGTGGTCAAGAGTTTGGTGTGCTACGACGTATAGATGATGTATTTGATTGTTGCTTCGAGTGTGGATCAATGCCTTATGCTTACATCCATTATCCATTTGAGAATGTTGTAACTTTTTGAGAAAAGTTTTCCGGGGCATTTTGTGTCTGAGGGGCTAGTTCAAACTCGTGGATGGTTTTACACTCTAATGGTTTGTCAACTGCATTATTTGGGAAACCTAAATGCTTATCAATTACATCATTCTAGTGTTTACGAGTAATTATTTAAACGGGCAGAACCATAACTGCAACACAATACAAATTTTTACAGCAACATGTTTATCCCAACGGCGAAGACTCATAAACGATGGCACTAACTTGTCTGAAAATTAAACATGACAAAACCAGACGCCCGACATCAGCATGGTCATGTTCCTTTTGTCGGTCTCCCACTCAGCATCCGCGAATCTAAAAGGTGGTCAAAGCAATTGTAAGATTACAATGGACGTTGGACAAATGGATTTCTATACAGAGGCTTGAAATGGGGTTTGTTCCTACTTACCCAAGCTCTGAAAGCTTCAAATGAGATTCGGCATAGTCAGCAAAGAAGGCATCCTCATCCTAAGCCAGAACACCATACCCTAAAGCTCAAGTTTTTAAACCATTGAATCACATGATGGTGGCTAATTGAATAGAGCTCTACTGGATTTATAAAGCAAACGACACAAAGACATGAATTGATACTCACAGCTGCATATTTCTCAACAAGAGGTCGATAGACAGGATCTTCCAAAAGTGCTTTGTCGGTTGGCAACTCGATCAGACCTTCTTTCTCTCCATTGAGAAGTTCCTTGTTCAAACAAGAATGCAAGAATATGGTTTACAAGGAAAGGAATTGAGCATCCACTCTCAACAAAGAACTTTATAAATAGTTATTACTTGAAATAAGAGTTATCAAAAATGAGAGGATTGGGGGTCCAGGGTCCATCAAAGCCAGAGCGCTCCTTATGGCACCTGCCCTGTAAAATATTGACAAGATTGAAAGGACACATTAAACTTTGAACATCTGAAACAGAATCTCACTGCATAATTCAATGATCATCAACTCACCAGTGTATGACCACCGGATAAAGCAACATTGTCTTTATCACTGAGACCCATGTGCCCAAACACATCTCTCAGATGATCCGAACCTATATTGAAACAAATTGAAGATTGGAAACATCATCACTTTACAATCAAACACCTGTAATTATCAGTTTATGCATGATTTGAACCGAAACAAACTGACCTTTGGTGGCCTGTGGCAAGCGACCCTCTGGAGGTGGTTCAATTTTGTCCTGAAATAAATACAAGTCATGTATAAGCAAACAGGTCAGTCATATAACTAAGGTGTGATTAGTTTTATCTTTGAAGACTAATAATTTTAAGATTCTTTCACTAGGGATCTAATAACTATTTTATCTCAAGAATTTATTTAAAAAATTATTATTTTTAGTCTTATCTTTGAATTTTCAAATAATTAATCTAATATATATATATATATATATATTATATGACAATATACAAGGTTATATAATAAAAATTACTTATGTGGATATTTAGGTGGATAATCTCTTTTAATGACACATAAGATAATACTTATATTATTTTATTTATCAAACAAATTTTTTATTAAATTATTTAAATTGAATATTTTGGATAATTATTTAAATTGAAATCAAAATCTATTTGAGATTGAAATTCTTGTATAAATTTTGAATTCAAATATATTAAATCATAATTTATCTTTTCTTTTTAAATTTAATGACAGTTTCAAATATATATATATATATACTTAATAAAATTTTATTTTTTGTCAAATAATTTTTTTAATAAATTATTTTAATTTAATATTTTTATATAATTATTTAAATTTAAATCAAAATCTATTAAAGATTGAAAATTATTTAATAGATTATTTAAATTTAATATTTTTAGATAAGTTAATGAATTATTGACTATAAAACATGTATTTTTAAAATAATAAGAGCTTATATCTTTATATGAAAACTAATTTTTTAACTTGTGCCATGCACGGGATTTTTTTATTATTTTTAATAATTAAAAAAAATTTATTAACCTTAATTTTTTATATTACTTTAATAAAAAAAATAAACATTTATTGATTTATTATATATAATCATACATTTATAAATGTTAAGGTACAACTAAATAAGAATTTATATATATTGTAATATTTTTTCTAAGTCAAAGCCTTTGTAAAATTTCAAAGAATTATAAAAAAAATTTCTTTTTCATAAAAATTATTTTTTCAATTTATTTACTAAACAATGAAAATTTTGCTACTCGTTTTTTGTTATTCAATCAAAAAAGCAAAGTTTAGTTTTAAATAATCAAGATTTTTATTATTGATTTATATTTTTTTTAGTGTTAAAAATGTTATTATCTCACGCTTTTAGATTCCTTACGTGATAATTGATACAATCTTTTTAAGGTTTACATATTTTTTTGGTACTTTATTGCACTCTTAATTGTGGTTGGATATTTCTAATCATTTCACTACTTTTAATAAAATTTTACTTTGACTTATTAAAGAGAAAATAGTCAGGATTAATCATTGTTTATATGTTGATACGAATGTATAAAAAATATATCATTTGATTAAATTGTAAAAGACATTTATATTAGCAAAAATATTTTTAAATTATTAAATCTTATAAAGCTAAATAAAAAATAAAACATCAAATAATAATAATAATAATAATAATAATAATATGACTGAACTACAAAACATAATTATTAATTTGCTCGTAACCATTTGCTTTTTATTAATTCTTTTTTCTTACATATATACTTTAACATACATAGTTGTTTTTTTTTATCAAAATATAAACTAAATATACAAATTGAGAATTATAAATAATTTAGATCTCTTGAACTTATGCAACTAAAATATTCAATTTAACTATATATATATATATATAAACATATGAACCAATTTATTTTATAATAAATCAAATCTAGGTGCATATATCATATAATGTAAATAAAACCAAATAATAAATTAAAAAAAAACAAATAGAGGAAAATAATAAAAAAAATATATAATATAAAAAAAAGTAATGAACTATACCTATTACCTAGTTAAAACCCAACCAAATATGCTCTCATTTTCTTTTCATTATTGAAATAAAAAAACAAAAATCAAACACCATCACGAATTTATTTTTAAAACTAAAAAGTAAAAATAAAAAAATAATAAAGGCATAAAATGAACTTACTTATTTATGAGTATCATGTGGTTATTATTCTTTTTAGCTTTTATCCATTTCTATCAAAACTTATAAATCATAATCGTCAAATAAAAAAGGGATTGTATTCTTTAATTTTTAGTTCTAATAACATTGGTGAAAAGATGATGCACTCACTTTATAAGTTCTTTATTTTTATTTTGAGATTTTGATTTCAACAAATAAAAATTTATTAAGCTCACACACACACACACACACACACATATATATAGAGTTATGATTAAATTTAAAAAGAAAAAGATAAATTATGATTTAATATATTTAAATCCAAAATTTATGTAAACTTTCTAATTTTTTATAAAGTTTGATTTGAATTTCAATAGTTATCTAAAAATATTAAATTTATATAATTTATTAAATAAAATTATTTGACAATAGATAAAAGTTTATTAAGCTTATATATATTTGAAATTATGATTAAATTAAAAAAGAAATGTAATTTATAATTTAATATATTTAAATTTAAAATTTATGTAAATTTTTTAATATTTTATAGATTTTGATTTGATTAAATATACAAATTGAGAATGTATATATAATTTAAATATCTTATACTTATGCATATTAAATATCCAATTTAACTATATATATATACATATGAACCAACTTTTTTTTGAATAAATCAAATCTAAATGTATATATGTATCATATAATGTAAATAAAACCAAATAAAAGGTTGGAAGAAACAAATAAATAGAGGAAAATTAAAAAAAAAAAGAAATAGAATAGGAAAAAAAATAATGAACTATACCTATTACCTTGTTGAAACCAATCTAATTATGTGCTCATTTTTCTTTTATTATTGAAATTAAAAAAAATCAATATTATAAAAACAAAGAAAAAACAATCTAACACCATCACAAACTTATTTTTAAAACTAAAAAAATAATAATAAAATAAATAAAAGAAAAATAAATGGATAAAATAAATTTACTTATTTATAAGTATGATGTGGTTGTTAATCTTTTTAATTTTTACCCATTCATGTTAAAACTTATAAATTATAATCGTCAAATAAAAAAATTATATTTTTCAATTTTTTATTTTAATAACAACAAACAAATACCATTGGTTAGAGAGTAATGCTCTCATTTTATAAGCTCTTTATTTTTATATTGAGATTTTGATTTCAACAAATAAAAATTTATTAAACTTACACATGCATATATAATATATATATATATATATATGTAAAGCCATGATTAAATTTGAAAAAAAAAGATAAATTATGAATTAATATATTTAAATTCAAAATTTATGTCAATTTTTCAAAATTTAATAAAGTTTTATTTGAATTTAAATAGTTACCAAACAATATTTAATTTATATAATTTATTAAATAAAATTATTTGAAAGCAAATAAAAGTTGCTTAAGCCTATATATATTGAAATTATGATTAAATTAAAAATAAAGATAATTTACGATTTAATATATTTGAATTAAAAATTTATGTAAAATTTTTAATATTTTATAGATTTTGATTTGAATTTAAATAATTATCCAAGCATATTAAATTTACATAATTATTTGAACATATTAAAATTAAATAATTTATTAAATAAAGTTACTTGATAAATAATATAATATAAATATTATCGTATGTGTCATAAAAAAACTATTCACATAGGTGTACATGCCAGCACATCTTATTTGATAATTTTATATCCTATAATAATATATATATATATATATATATATATATATATATTGGATATGAGACATTTGAATATTGATAAAAAAATAGATACAAATTTATTTTTATTTTGAAAATAAATATAATATTTTTTTTATATTCTAATTCAAATGTTTTTATATTATATATTTTGTTAATTTATTTATTTCTCTTTAATCCATAATTTTTTTTTAATTTTGCTTAGAATGATTAGAATTGACTTTTCGTATTATATATATATATTTGTTTTATTCATTTCTTTAATGCTTTTATTCTCTATTAATTTATTAGCATATTTGCTCATATTATTATATATCTTTAATTTTGACAAATTAATATATAAACTTATATTCTCTATTTCCTTTTACTAATAAAATTTCTTCGTATACGATTGATAGTATGAGAAGAATGATGATCATTGCAACATCTAATCCACAAAAATACTATCAAATATGTTAAAAATGATTAAAAATAAAAAAATATTTCAAATAAATATTTTTAAGCATAACATAAAAAATCATTGTTTTCTTTTTATCTAAAAAATAACTTTATTTTGTTGACAAATATAAAATAATTGTTAGCCTAATATATTTATATAATAATCACATGAAGTATGTCAAAAATTATAAGAACTAATAAAAAACAAATGGTTATAACCAAATTAATAATTATGATTTGTTGTTTAATCAAATATATATATATATACACACACACACCCATATCAACTTTATCATAAAATCAATTATTAATCTTAACTATTTAAATATTGATTCTTGATTTTTTATCAAACAAGAAAAAAGTGGTAGCAAAATTTTTAATATTTAATAAATGAATCAAAGAAAATATTTTTTTATCAAAAAGAAAAGATTTTTATAATTCTTGAAAATTTACAAATGCTTAGACTTATTTTAGATGAACAATATCATTTATAATATATTATTTATAAATTGTTATTTAATTATAATTTAACATTTATAAATATATGATTATTTATTAGATCAATAATTAAAAAATAAATTTAAAATCATGAAATTATGAAAATTTTAATAAAAAAATCTCATGCGTCATACCGGTTAAAAAAGGCTAGTTTCAATGTATAATTCTCAAATCTATTCCATAAAAAAAAAAAAAAATCTTAAATCTCCTAATTTACTTTGTAGCATGTAAAATCGCAAAATCATAGGCTATTATCACGTTTTAAAATCCAATAAAATCTTTTCATAATTTAAATACAGCATGATAAAAAGAAAGTAAAAATAATTGCTAAAACAAAAATACTAAAATATTAAAAAACCCCTATATTTTTTCATAATTTTCAAGTAAATTTTTATCATTTTATTGTATCTAATTGAGTTTTTAGAGTTTTTTTTTTGTTTGATTAAGTCCTTATTTTGCATGAAACTATTAAAAACAGTTTAAAAAATAGGGATTATCTGTTGCCATTGAAAAAAAGTTCGATTTAGTAAAAAGTTATTGTGAAAACTATGGCTTAAGATTTCTAGTGTTTAATAGTGAGAAATTAAAATGTTTAAAACTATTTGATGTTGGAAAAAAAAAGGGTTATTTTTATAAAAAAAAAAATTAAGTAGATATTTTTATCATTTTATCTTTAAATCATAAATTTCAAACTGTAATTACATCTTTTAATTAGCTTTTATAAATGATTCATTTTAATAGAAACCATAGTGTTTAGGATTGCTTTTGTGTTTAAAAATTACGTCTTGAAACTTAAACACAATGCTAAATAAGATCTTGATTAAAATTTTTTAGAGATTTAATTACACAAAAATAATACTACCATAATCTTTTAAAAAAATTATACTATATTACTTAATTAGATAAAAATATAAAAATTAAATTAAATACGATAAAAATAAAGGTTTTATAAAAAATTTAAAAATATATATAAATTTTTATATTTATATTTTAAAAAATATAAAAAATAAAAATAAAGGTTATTTAATATTTGGATCCCCACTGCCCCACACCAAAGATCTCTCACACAAAATAAAATTGTAAAAACATGCGTTCAAGTTCTGTTTTTCTCCACAAATTTATATGCAAACCACCGCCTTAACTCCCTCTTAAAAGAACCACCCATCCTCCATATTTAGAAATCCAAAATTTAAAATAAAAAAAAAATCAATTGTAAAAACAAAATCCCAAAATTTTTTTTCTTTCAAATTCCAATTCCATTGGGATTGGGATCTCTTTTTCTTCAATATATATACATAACAAACCCCCTTTTTTTCTCTATCTCAAAAACAAATTTGCTGCGTTTTCAATCTGTCGTTGCTTTTCTTCAATCTCCTTTGTTTTTCTTTTTTATACAAATAGATACAATCTGATGGGATTTGGGTCGATTTTCAATCGAAAAAAGAAGCAACATTCCCAAAATTCAACAGCTTCTCCAGCTGTTCCTCCCAATGGAATATCGTTCCTTCAATCTCCAATGCAAACCCCGTCGAGAAATTTCACCCAAACCCAACTACAAGAACTCGAAGAAGTCTTCAAAAAGTTCGACGTCAATGGCGATGGCAAGATCTCATCATCTGAACTAGCTTCCATCATGGGTTCCCTTGGCCAACGGCCCTCGGACGAAGAACTCCAAAATATGATCAAAGAATTCGATGCTGACGGTGACGGGTTCATAAATTTCAAAGAATTCGTCGAGCTGAACACCAAAGGAGTCGATTCCGACGAGGTTTTGGAGAATCTGAAGGACGCTTTCTCCGTGTATGATATAGACGGGAATGGTTCGATTTCGCCTGAGGAACTTCATGAGGTTCTGAAAAGCCTTGGAGATGAATGTTCGATTGCAGAATGTAGGGAGATGATAAGCGGAGTGGACAATGATGGAAACGGGATGATTGATTTTGAAGAGTTTAAGGTTATGATGATGGCTGGGGCCAAGGTATGATTCCATGGAATCTCAGAGAGGTGTTATCGTCAAGATCGAATGATATGATTCAGTTTTTGGAGGGTAACTCTGTTTTATTCTACTCTCTGGATTTCTGGATCTCTTGTTAGTTAGTCAGGAGCGGCCTTTTTTTTTTTTCCTTCAAATTTCTTATTGATCATATCGAAATTGTGCATATTTTTGGATTATTTTGGATTTTACTTTCAATGGAATTTAATGGTTATTTTAGTAGTAATATAGATTTGTTCCTTTTGCTTTTTTTTTTTTTTTTTTTTAAGTTTTTACAATGAGGCCGTAAGTTTAGAGATTAAAAAAGGGTAGGTTTTATAGAAATTTAGAGATGAGTGAATGATTTGACTTAAATTTTATTTTTTTTTAATCTTTGGAATTTATATAGAAAATTATTTTCTTTTGGGTGTTTGGGTCTACTATTATTTGATGAATTGTCAAAGTTGTTAATGAAAGCCAGAATTGGATGTGGTAGCGTCAAATTGTGTGAAATTTTTTTTAATTAAAAATAAAGAGTTGGTTTTTTATATAATATCAGTTTAATATTATTTTGAAAAAATAAAAATTTATAATATAAAGTAACAATAATTTTGAGAGGAATAGAATTTTTAATTTACACATCGGTAACATAGTTAATTTTACAACTCACATTACTTCGGTAATGAAAAATTTTTCATGGATGAAAGTTAAATTACTTTTTAAGATATAATTTAATTATTCTCCATTATTTAAGATCACCATTATATATTATATTAAATTATTAAATTTTTATCAAATATGATAATTTAATTATTATATCATTTATATATCATACAAAATCATTAAATTCTTACCAAATATGATAATTTAATTATTATATATAAATTATTATAATTTTTAAAATAATCATCCCATGTCAAATATCTGCCAAGGGAGAATAAAAAAATTGATATTGTAAATAAACGAAATTAAGTTAACTATGAAGTGTAAAAGAAAAAGAAGCCAAATATCAGCTAAGCGAGAGTGTCATCATTTTAATAAAATATTTCATTATCAATATATTTAATAATTTTTTATAAATTAATGACACAAAATTCACAAATGATTAGTTCAGTAAATGTGAGGTTTTTTTTTTTTTTTTTTTTTTTTGTAAATTAACACGAAAGAATGTACTTTTAAAATCATCTAAAAAAAATTGCAACCTAAATAAAATTAAAAAAAACCCTAATTAGATTATAAAAAAGGCAAATAATACTTAAATATAAATATAATTGATAGGAAAATGATTTGGTACTTTAAATAAGTGAATTCAACAGTTAATTACATGAAATTCCAACAAATTGGGATGCTTTTTAGTTGTTTTTACATTGTAAATGTGTTGAATCTCTTTGAAGCCAGAGCCAAAAGTTTAATTTAACCTAAGTACATTGGTATCTATTGCCCTTTTCCATTACTTTTAAACGTTTGTAACCAACATTTTACAATAGTAGCAGCAGCAAAAGCAGATAGACCATCGCCACTCTCGGCAGTGGTCAGCCTACCAGTTGGAAACATGGCTGCTTCTAAGATGCTTATCCCCACTCTCACCCACTTCCGCCCTCTAACATGCGCCGCCACTGCCTCATACCCGGCGCGGCTGGTCCCTCACCCACCCGACCTCCTGAAGTGGGTCAAAAGGGAAGGTGGGTTCGTGCACGAGGCAGTGAAGATAACCCAGGACACTACCCACGGGCTAGGCCTTGTCGCCTCTAGAGAAATCCCCAAAGGCTCTGATCTTATCGTCCTCCCTGATCACGTTCCCTTGAAGTTTCAATCAGACAAAGGCGATGGGGCTGGCTCTGTCTTGCTCCATTTGTCTAACCAAGTTCCTGGTATGTATTTTTTTCCCCTATCTTTTGGACTCCAATTTTCTTCGGTTTCTTTATTGTTTTTTAAATGTTTGATATTACTTAAAAAAAAAAAAAAATTTAGGTGGATTTTTTTTCTTGGCGCTTCGCAGCATTGGAACTGCTCATTAACTTCTTTATGCTCCATAAAGATTTGAATTTGAGTGATTTTGGTGTGGGTTTTCTTAAATTAGGTGACTCGAAAAGCCTAAGCTTTTAGGAAAGGGCCCTACTTTTATGTTTAAGTTCTATCAGGTTCAATAACTTCATTTAGCTTAAATGTGGAAGTTCAATTGTGATCCATCTATATTATAATGCAGTTTGGTTCATAGCACTGAATTGCTTTAGTTGCTAGTGTATATACAATGCCTTTTCGTACTGCTCAAGAGATGAATGAATTAATGTAATGAGCTGAAACGTAGGAGATTATGATTCTTGCAATGTTTTTTTTTTGTTTAATTCTAAATGCATAGGAGTTACTTTCCACTGAAGTTCTATAAATTCTGTTATGTTAACCTAGTAAACCTGAAATTAAAGCTAAATAAACATATTTTTGAGGTAGCTATTAAGCCTAGTATTACAATGGCATCATAGACTAATGGCAGTTCATTAGGTTTCAAGGTGGCCCACGTTGCAATATGTTTGGAGAATTTGATGGTCAAAGTTAAATTAAAGGTAAAAAGAAGAGAGTTTGATGTATCCATTTCTGGTTCTGCCGGCCTTCACATGTTTAGTGAACATTCCTTTCTTATTGTTCACAACTAAGTAAATTGCTAGCTTACTCAGTTGCATTAGAGATTGGTATCAATTTCTTGATAGCACCAAACACTACTATGGTTTAGTGAGTGTTATCATGGAAATTTTCTTTATTCATATAGGTTGATAACTACCAAGTTTCGTAAATTGGATTGTTTAGAGTTTTAAATTGGACTCTGTGGGAGCATTTGACAGAGGAACTATGGGCAATGAAGTTGGGTCTGAAGCTTTTGCAAGAAAGAGCAAAGGTTGGATCCTTCTGGTGGACATACATCAGCAATCTCCCTGAAACTTACAGTGTACCCATCTTCTTTGCTGGAGAGGATATAAAGAACTTGCAATATGCTCCTCTGCTTTACCAGGTATATATTTTCATCATTTACCTTACAGGGAAGGAAATATCTTATTTTCCTTGTGTCAATGAACTTTCGTTGATCCAATCTGATGGAAGCTAGTAGGACTAAAGGGAAAAAAATGATGGAAGCCAGTATCTATGCTGAACTAATGGTTTGACTGACCAAATTATGGTCTGTTTTGAAATATACGTTTGAAAACATGGCCAATGTTCAAATTAATTTGGCCCATTTTGGGTGTACATTCCCTCGATTTTGTTTGAAATTTTGTTGATTTCTGCAGTTAGCTTCAAAGTTAATTGTGATTTGGTCCCCCAAGCAGGTGAATAAAAGGTGCTGTTTTCTTTTGGAGTTTGAGCAAGAAGTAAAAAATGCTCTTAAAAGTCTTAAACCAAGTGAACACCCTTTTGGTGGGCAAGGTGTAGATGCATCCTCCCTTGGATGGGCAATGTCAGCAGTCTCGTCAAGGGCATTTCGTTTGTATGGGAAAAAGCTTCCAGATGGAACCCACAGTGATATCCCAATGATGCTCCCTCTGATTGATATGTGCAACCATAGCTTCAATCCAAATGCCCGAATTTTGCAAGAACAAGATGCAGGGAATCCAAAAATGCTAATAAAGGCAGGTCTTTGTCAATAATTTTATCATTGTAATTTCATTCAGTTTTGATTTGATAAATAGCTAAAATAGCCCATAGATTTTCTCATACATATCTCTTTCTCTCATATCAGGTTGTAGCTGAAAGGCAGATCCAACAAAGTGATCCTTTACTTCTGAATTATGGTTGTCTAAGCAATGACTTTTTCCTATTGGATTATGGATTTGTTATACCATCAAACCCGTATGACTATATTGAGCTCAAATATGATGGGGCTCTTATGGATGCTGCAAGTATGGCTGCTGGTGTTTCTTCACCTAATTTCTCCTCACCAGCTCCATGGCAACAAGAAATTCTCTCTCAGCTTAATTTAGATGGAGAAGCTCCAAATCTCAAGGTTATTTCTTTCCTTCATGTTACTTTAAATAGTTGTCGTCTTTTGGATTGTTTTCAATAAATTGAACAGTACATAAAGCAATGGCTGCTAATGTTAAACAGTTTATGATTTGTAACAAATCACTTTTCCAATATAAGTTTCACTGTTAAATGCCATTACTAAGAATTCTCAAAGTTCAAAATTTGACGACGTGGGTACACTTTGATTTGTCTGTTTCACCTTTTTTATATTGGAGGATCTTTTCTCTCTTTGCTTCTATTTCAAAAGATTGGAATAAGACTGCCCTGATAAAGTATACAAGAAGTAAAAACCTTTTGTGGTATGTGGCTTGCAGAAAGATGAAGAAAACTGCCTTTTTGCCTGCCAGATAAATCCCTTGGTGTTATGCTTTCAACTTGCCCTTTCAGTTTCATGAGTCCTAAGTTGTACCAAACTCAGCTAAGGGTTAAAGTTTTTTGTTAATGGTTCTGGTCAATTCTAATATTTATTGGCCCTTTTGTTTATTCCTGATAGGTAATCATAGGAGGTCCTGAATTGGTAGAGGGACGCTTATTGGCTGCTTTAAGAGTTCTACTATCAAATGACATGGAATCAGTGCAGAGGTATGATTTGAATGCCCTCAAATCTTTATCAGCTGAAGCTCCCCTTGGAGTTGCGAATCAAGTAGCTGCTTTTCGTACCGTTATTGCACTTTGTGTGATTGCATTGGGACACTTCCCAACGAAGATAATGGATGATGAGTCTCTACTGAAACAAGATGTTTCCATTTCAACAGAGTTGGCGATACAGTTCCGGATGCAGAAGAAATCTGTGATTATAGATGTCATGAGAGATCTCACAAAGAGGGTGAAGCTTCTGTTATCAAAGGAGACCACCACTGCCTAATTTATTAGGATATAGAATCATTCAACTGCAGTTTGTTCCTTCTTTGACACTTGTTCTGGTTTTGTCATCTATGTTGTTATAACCCGTATAAATTTCATATTTGTAATACGATTTGCTGCTGGTTTCAGTCATTTAAATTTTTACATCTATGGAAAATTTTGTCTGCTTTTAACTGCTGATGATATTTGGTGCAACCATTTTCTATTTTTTTATCATTATATCATAATTGTGGTGTTATCACTGTTATCCTTCCATCTTTGCAGGCAATACATGTTTAAAAAAAAAAAACAAAAATAGAAAGCTGAAGGAAAGAGTTTAGGTAAAGAGGAAACTGGGTTTCAAAAATAGAGAGGTGATTTACTATAACCAAAAAGGAAAGGAAACCGAGGGAGCTGGTTTAACAGGGAAGAAAAAGAGAAGAAAGGAAAAAGGTTTTCTCCATGAACATATTGAAGGATATCTACAACAGATAGAAAAAAGATCCAGAAACAAGATAAAAGAAAATTGTTTCTAATCCTAAAAACCTGCCGCCATGAGAGTAACCATTTCTCTTTCTTCTCTTCTACAGATGATTTGCCATACTGCGATGGTAGTTTCTATGAATTTCCAACAGATATGGGTCTTTCAGCTAATCCCAGAGGGGAACGGGACCGTTGCCTGGCGATCTCCCGGACCACCCGTCTCATATTTGGCTGCTTGATCTTCTCAAACTCTTGCTTTATCTTCATGACTTGGCTGTGAATTGGAAAACCTTTATATCCATCTTCATCTCTTATAGCTATGTTGTTGTTGTTGCTATTGTTTTCGTAGCTGCTGCTGATCTTCTTTTGCTCCATATTCTGAAGTTGTAAAACAAAACTCACACCCTCTCTTTTCAGATTGCAAATTGCAAATGCTTCATGCCAAAGGCCTTGCATACCTGTTTTTTTTTTTGGAGAGTTTTAAGGGTTTATATAGGGCGTGAACAATGAAAAAGACGTGATTTCTTCATGAATAGCGAGGATAAGGAAGCTGGTAGGCAAAGGGTATGTAACTTTCTCCACTTTTGAAATCTTAATTTTGCATGCCCAAAATGCCCCTTAAGATATTGGATTGTCTTCTCTTTTCCTTTTTCATCTCTTTCAACGAATAATGTGAATTGCTAGAAGTTGCTAGGCTGCCCAACTGCTCCTTCACATATGTGAAAGAGGAATTTCTCATTTGACTGGTTTTTTAGATTCAACTTGTAGAAAATTTTGTATATGCAGACTTTGGTCAACATGGAATAAACAATGAAATTTGATGATTTGTGGTTGGAAAAAGTTTACCACGTTTTTACCTCTTGTGGACTAGAGAGTTCTGATAGAAATTTTCCTTTTTATTTTGAAGAAGATGGATTCAAATTTGACCATTTCAAAAGGGCGATATTTATGTGCTTTTTGTTTCTCTTTTGGTTTGTTGCAATTTTGAGGATGGTTAAAAGGATAAAATAAATCAGTAATTCCCATCCAGCCAAAAGTTAAAGAGTGAATTATGGTGGTGCAAAGTGTGGGCAATAATGTAAAATCATATATGGACATTTTCGCATTACATCATTGTTAGGTTGATGTCTATGAGCTGGGAGCTTAAACCTAATAACCATACAATTTTAGACTCCTAGACTAAGATTCGTGCGATATTTGTGATATTTACACCTTGTAAAAGGTGATTTACTTGCATATAATGCCTATGTCACAGGTTGAGAATTTAAGCCTAACAATTGTGCAACCTTAGGCTCTTGGGTTATGACTCATGCAGAGTCAGTCACATTTACACCTTGTAAAAGGTAACTTACTTACGTGTATATGTTAATGATTTAGGATGGGGCACTTACATGTACCAAAACATTAGGGTATACATAATTGCATCAACCTCACATTTTATTTTCAAATTTTGAAGAGGTACGTTTTCCCATTCATACTTCACATCATCTTCAAAATTAAATAAAAAATCTCTAAATTAAAAAGCTCAATCCTATTTAATTTTGAACATGGGAAGTTTTTCCCTTCCAACAAAATGAAGTACTCCATTTGACAAGCTATCCACCCATGGAAGGAAGTTGCATTTCAAATTTTGGAATAAGTAATAACCCAAACTCTAATCCATATGAAACATATGTTTAAATTTTAGATGCAAATATTATATATCATAATATTTTTAATTTGAATTTAAATGTTTTTAAGTAAATATTATTTTCATTAAAACTCGCAATTACAATAATTATGAAACATTCATTTGATTAATCAATTATAATTTAAAATTATATGATATCTATCAAAATTTTATATGAATCTTATATATATAAGTGGTGGATTTTCACATATTTTTTTTTATTAAATAATTATAATATTATAATAAAAGAGTTATAGAGAATAAATTGTTAAATTCAATTGTATAACGCATAAAATTATAATTGATGTTAAATACGCATAAAAATGGTAGAAATCTGGTTAGTGTCACAATTCTTTGGCCTAACGAATATAACCCAATTCTTCATGTTTCATTGATCAAGAATTTAATTTAGCTAATTTAAATATTCGTTGTCTTCTTTTTTTAGAGTGGAAATAATTTATTTAGCTTTATATCCATCATAAATTATCATTTTTAATACATTAATAGGCCAAGTCGGACGCATTAAGTACACTCCATATATATCATATATTTTTATTGTTTAAAATTTTAAATTTTAACATCAATAATTTTTTTTAAATTATGATTTTTTTATAAAAATTCAAATTCCATCATTACTAATCGGAGCCTTAATTCTCAAGATACGGAGAATTATGTGGTTGAATTTCATTTTGTACTTACCTAATAAACCAAAAGTTGTTATACATTTATTTAATAGGATTTGGTTTTGGGTCCACGTTCCATCTTAAATTGATTTCCACAAAGCCAATTTTTCCAACGTTGAAAGCAATGACAGTCCTAAGGTGCCAAACGCAGACACTCTTCCACGTGATCTTCACTCGATACCTGAAATTTGACGAAAATGACTCACGACTTTGGCACCGTTATCACGTTTTCAAAAATTTAATCGAAGGACCATTGCAAATTGGTTGAATTAATAGGATCGTTGGTTTCGAATTTTGCAATTGTGGGTTCCATTTTTACTGATGAATGTATATCATTTGTTTTAATTTTTTAATAAATAAAAGTTTAAGCTTAGATTTCTCTTGTAAAATTTTTTGATTATGTTTGCTTAATTAATTATTAGGTGGACTTATGATGGTTCTTAGCATAAAATTTGTAATTATTAATAGTGAAATTCACTCTTTCATTGGTCTATTATTTTAATTATTTTAATATCATTTAAATTATTTTTAATATATTAACATTGTTAAAATTCAAATCCTAATCATAAAAATTAAAATTCTCACATTTTACTAGCCTTCCATGTAACTATTAGTATCGATCGGAAATTTCAATAACTAAAAAAGTTTAACTCGAAGGTCTGTTTTGTAAAATTTCATGAACTATATGGGTTAAGTAGGAGATGGGTTAGCATATGAGCATTTAGTTACGAGTTGTCGGCCCGCCAGCAGCGGCCACTTGCGTGAAGCAAGAGGGCAATGCTGCCACGAGGCGGAAGAGGATTTGCTTGAGATTTTATTCTATAGAAAAGTAGAGATTTCGTATAAAAAGAAACGGTAAAGATTTCCTGTTATAGTTGGGTTTCCAATTCCACTGTTTTGATATTTTGGAAGATGTGCACGTTGACGTGGCTCAGCTCAGAATTTGTGGTAATCTCAAAACCAATAGGATTTCAACTCGTGTCCAAGCCAATGGGTTTGACTAGCATTGATTTTGAATGATAAATCCTGTAATTTTCTTTTCTTAAAGATAGAACCTTCCACCTTTCGAGATAAGTTTCATTCTCGATAAACCCAATTTCCCTTCAGCTAACGACTCCTCAAAGTCAATTTTCCATAAGAGTTAGGATAAGATGTCATCAACCTCGTCAATTCATTAACTTTCTTTTCATTTTTGGTTTTTTTTTTTTTTATATAAAAATTACAGTAAATATTAAAATTTGTATCCATATCTATTAAATATTCATTTTGAAAATGATTGAATAAATTTAATTAAATAAATTTTTAATTTAATTTTTTCACATATTTTATAGAAGTATACAGTAATGTATAAGATTGGAAACATAATAAAATTATAAACATGATAAAATTACGTGGGAGTTTAATTTTTATTATGTGTGAGTTTAGTTATTTAATTAAAGATATAATTTATTAATTAATTATTTAATTACATAATAATTAATCATACAAATATAATATTTAATTATAAATTTAATTACAAGTGCAATTTAAAAAGAAAAAAGAAAAAAGATTGCAAAGAGAATACAACAATTATAAAATTGGAAAGAGGTGATGGATCACATGTTAGTAACTGATGTCAATGTGGCGTGAGAATTAAATAATCATATTTTTTGAATTTTGACACATGCGTCTCTTATAAATAATAAGCTACTAAGCTAGTTTTTCTGTATATTTCTTTTATTGAAATCCAGAGCCCAATTAAATGGCCAAGGCCCAGACCTTTCAGCATTTCCACCAGGCTAGCCTGTTCAACCTAGTTGCTAGATCATATAAAATTGGCCCAATTTCATTATTTTGGTTTTCCTTTCGCCCGATTGAAACGCTTTCCTTGTATGTCCCTGATGATGAAGGGCTGGGCAGTGGGCTTGATTCTTAGTGTTAATGTTGCACGTATTGTCCATAATAGGGAAAAAAATAAATTGTTACGAGACCTGGGAAATTGAATAACCATCCAATTTTTTTCAACTATCTTTTTTAGTTCAAATTATAATTTTGATTTTTCTTTTAATTTGAAAGAAGAGATATTAAAACTCAATATATATATATATATATCAATTATTAAATCAAATGTTCAAAAATTATTTTTAATTTTTTTCAATTAAGGGATATATATGCACTTAATACTTATAAAAGTAAGTATTAAAAGCATAGAATGGGGGAGATATATACTAACTTGGGTAATTAAATTGAGATATATATGGAATTATTAACATAAAAAATAATGCATCACATTAGGTAATTAATCCAATTGATCTTATAAATTGCTTATTCCTAGTTCTTCAATCTTCATATACTGTGCAAGAAGCAAAAGTGAGTTCCAAAAATAATTAATACGCT